TCTCTCTCTATACACGAGCGACAAATATCAAACGGGTTTTTCCCTACACCCCCGACCATTACCAAAATTTGAAAACACGAAAATAAATTTCAAAAGGGAAAACAAAATATAGAAAACAATTAAGCTCTTGCAAAATTAAGCCGTAACATTTTCTTTTCCTACTTGTGAAGTTGTAATTTTGACTTGCTTTTATTCCTTTGATTCAGTTTACGTGTGACTTTTCTAGAGTTGAGATTCAAATTTTGGAAACCACTCAGTGTTGAAAATGTCATTACGTTTTCGAATAACGAAAAAATTGACATGATTTTAATTTACAGCGATGCAAGGCTCAGCACTCACTTAGCATCACAGATTTATTCAGAAAGATTTCCTGAGTTACACCTGATCGGAGAACATTTCAAAGACTTGTGAATAGTCTTAGGGAAATTAGCTCTCTTCATAGATATCACCCATATCATATTGAACTGAAATTTTTTGTGTATGTGCTTTAGAACAAGTAAATATAAATGAGAATTTTTTTTCAAAATGTATTGTTTACCGATGAAGCAAGTTTTAAATCGTGCGGAAATGTCACTGCAATTGACACAACTCTACTATCCGTGCCAAAAATCAATTTTGAAGATAAGAGTTGAACAGTAAACCACGTATGCGAAGCCTTTCGATGTGTCAAATGTCAAATATTTTAAATTCACATATGTTAGTAGTAAAGTTCAGTGATTTCGACAAACTTTACCGCAATTAAAAAAAAAAAAAAAACAATTGTTAAGTGTTTTTCAGATCTGTTTCGGAAATTTAAAGATTAAGCTAACCCTTAAGTGGAGATAGCGACATGCAATCTGTTTTTACTTAATTTTGTTGCGAGGTGTTAAAAATTAAGCCCAACTCTGTCGTTTTATTTAATTCATTCCCAATTATAATTGTTACAAAGGTGTTGACATTTCGGTGGTAACTTATGATCTAAAATTCTTTATCGTTGATTCCCAGTTCATCGAAGTTCGCACCTAAATTGTACGATTTTCTTAACCAATCAAATTACAGAATTAAAAAAACACGTAACAAAAGTATTGAACGATTATAATAAAATTATTTATTGATTTTGCAAAAAAAAGTAGAACTGGGTGTCAGTGATTCACGTGTTGCACAATTTGTCGAACCTAAACGAAGAATTTAATAAAATAACTCAAATAATAAAATATATATATACTTATATTATATAGGAGGTAAAGCAGGGCTTTACAACAATTTCTTTTGAAATGCGTTTGTTAAAAAAAAACAGATTTTACATGTGTAAGCATATTTTTTCTTTTTGTGAACACCGTTAGAAATATTTTTAGAAATGAAAAAAAAAAATACTAAAAATGTACAATTAAAAAAAAAAAAACATCTTAAAAGTACCGTGCGCTAACAAAAGGCTTCGGGTCAACCAAGTTTCTCAAGTACCTGCTGAAATTCAAAGAATTCAAATGTAAAAAGGAAATAAAAAAGGACTTCTTAAAAGATGTGCTCCGAAGCAGAAGGGGTGGGTCATAGTCAAGTGCCTCAAGGCACTTAAGTTTAGACTTCGTTTCTAAGATTTCTTCCTGCAAACATCACTAGAAAACGTTCTCTATCCCACTATACTCGAAAGACCGCCGTTTTTGACAGTGAAACTTGAAGAAAAACTTAACTATCTCCTCTGGTATTTGAAAAGCCGACGTATTATCTTTGTTGGCAGAATAAAACTTGTTCTTTTTCCATCTTCATTAATTTTATCAACGTTTCCTTATCTCATCGTATGGCAGCTAACCTGTAATGCTCCTTATCTTAAATTCACAGTGAAGCCATTTGTGGAGAATCTATGTATGTCTAAATAATTTTAATTTTTGAAAACTGATCAACGATTTTGTAACTGGTGATCATAGCTGATTATATAATTATACGGGGTATTTTACATAAAAATGAACCGTTTTCGAAGGAGAAAATCATATGACGATAACATTTTTTGACCTTGACCTTATTTTCAAGGTCATATGAAGGTCACGGTCTTTTTTTTTTTAAATGGCACCCTATGTTTTTGATTGTAAAATCTGAATCTATGGGATAAAAGTAATAAATAAATAAAAATAGCTTTAATAATTTTTTTATTCAAATAGCTTTAAATATTGTTAATTTATAAAAAAATTATTAAACTATACTATTAATCAACAATAAGTATAAAATTTATAAATATTCAAATATTTCCCCATCCACTTCAATACATTTATTAACCCTTCTACTAAAACTTTCTTTACATCTTAACACGTTCGCTGCCGACTACGAGTTAACTCGTATCTAAACCCTGGTTAACGGGGTCGCTCGGCAGCGAACGTGTTAAAAAGTTTCCTTGGCTACTGTTTCTGCATGCATTTCTTATCCGCTCTTTCATGTTTTCTGGCGTAGTCGGTACTTCGCGATAAACATTATCCTTAAGGACGCCTCACAAAAAAAAATCAAGAGGTGTTAAATCAGGTGATCTGGCAGGTCAGGAAATTGGACTTCCCCTTCCAATCCATCGCCCAGCATTATCCCGATCTAAAGTTTCACGTGCAATATTTGAAAAATGTGCTGGTCACCCATCATTTTGCAGCCACATATTTTGCCTTTCTTCCCTGCTTAAATCTACAAGTAACGTTGGTAAGACATCATCTAAAAAATGTTGGTACTTCTCCCCATTCAGCATACCATCAATATTCTTAAAATGCTGGTCTTCGATATACCGGCGTCAATTGCAAGTCGTCAACTGCTAACTTGAGGATTTACCTCAACGCTAGCTAATACCGCAATTTCCTTATCTTCCGTAGTTACAGTTGCTCACCGAGTTCTTTTTCTTGATTCCACATTTCCAGTGATAATGAAATCATCCACAACTCTGTAAAAGGTGTCTCTCAAAGTCGTATTTCGATCAGGAAAACGTTCTCGATACAAAGCTATACTATTAGCAACTTTTCTGCCACTTTGCCCATAAATAAAAATCATTTCGACTTTTTCTGCCACACTTAGAGTATCCATGATTTAATGACTTAGTTTAAAAATTTTGCCTTAATGTAAAACGATGGAATGAGTTCAGAATATGCTGCCAAGCAGTTTTTATGCAAATTTAGTTTTACCTGTTACATTTTAAAACAATTCAACCAATTAAGTCTCTGAAAGCGATATTCTGAAAATGCCGACATAAGCAGTTCCACGAACTCTTGTTTTTTATGCGTTATTCTATTATCAAATTGACAAAGTCGGAGGAATGTCGGAACCTTTTAGACCTCTTTCCAAAGGTATTTCCGACGGGCCAGGTCACCCGATGTACCTCTTCTGGAGTTTTTTGTTGAGCATTCTTAAATAGTATTGTAAGAATTAAGAACTAAAGACAATGTATCGAAGCGGGTAGGAAAATGTTTAAAAATTGATAAGTCTTATTTGTTCTTGCTAGATTATAAACGTTAGTTAATTGTTTCTGAAGAAGTTTCAATTTTTTTCAAAAGATGTTTTGCCGTTGTACTGGCAAAATCACACACTAAAATTTTTTTTTTTGAATTACTTTACTTTTATCCACAGATTCAGATTTTACAATAAAATAGATAGGGTAAAATGAACCGTTTTCGAGATTGTCTCACGTTAAATGGACCACCTGTATGTTAAAGAAGAATGTATGACTTAAACCGAGTTCGATTGCAGTCAAAGTTCTACAGTTTGTAATCTGGCGGAAGTAATTTTTGTTGCTCATTGACATGTATTGCATTCCTCGCCTGTAAGCGATCTCGGCTAAATTCTAAGTCAGCGTGTTTAAGTTGCTTATGCTGAGGTTCTTTGTAGCCGTAACGCCACAATTAGTAATATATCAATACAATATTAGATAATACATATTGGATCATCTCGGCTTAGTGTAACAGCGTTATGTTTCTCTGTCCTTATTAAGCCGAGGTTCTGCAACCCGATGTATGATTTAATAACACATGTTGTTCAAAATTGTATTGTTAATTGTTGCGCATTGGCTTGATAACACACTTTAAGTCTGCACTTTAGAGTCTTTAAATCAATATGTTAGCTTGTCAGAAGATATTGTTTTACTTTTTAGTTGATTGACTGCTTCAAGACGCTCTTTTCCTTTGTACTAGTTAATCTAGATCTCCATTCAACATGTTTTGCTAAACAAATTACCTACAATTCCTAAATGGTAATGGAAACATTTCCTTCTTGGTTTTGGACTTAATTTTTATTAAGAGTGTTAGCAAACTTACCAATAACTATTTGAGTGTAGGTTTTTTCTACACTTGAGTTTACTACTTGAACTTGTGTAATAATCTAGAAATAATTTTATTAATCCGTTATATGTTTTGATTTAAGTTAATATTAATTTGAGACAGGAAATACGAGTGTAAATAACTCGATGTGAGGAAGTGGCTAGACGGAACATGATACCCTGTTCGTATGTTGACGTCGTCCATCCGTCAATAGCGCTTATGCTGCTAAATTAGTGGAAAATAATCAGAAGAAATCGTGAGCAATAACCCTAGACTTAATAGAGGGGAATGCTGCTAATTTTCATTGGTTAAAGTTTAAAAACCAATAAAAATTGTTAAAAGGTTTAGACGCGTAAGTGAGTAAAAAATTGACAGACAGTTCGTGCGAGATCTTAATAGTGATCACTTGGCTCATCTTAGGGTTCCAGTTTGACCTTTGGTTACCAGGACTTTCCTTCCAGACGATCTTTTGAGTTTCCTTAGTGAGCCAATTCATTTGCTCGCTATTCATTTTGGTTTGTTTTTAGTTTCTTACACACCACTGTTATATGTTTACTAGGGCATAATAGGAGGTTGTTTTGTTTTATGTTTTAAATTAGGAGTGGTTTAGATAATTTTATAGCAACCTTCACATCTAATTACGTTATCCAAACAATATATACAGCTAAATGTTATTATTCGATAAACATCAACTCATCTCATAAATTCTATAACTGGTTATTAATAATTATTTATTTCTTTCTCCAGTAACTATAGAAGAGGACATTATAATAATAACTACAATAACAACAACGACAGTACAAATTACAGAGGATACAGAGACTATAATCGAAACTGGGATTTTAATAATCCACACTATAGACCCAATAAATATCAGAATTACAACAATAAACCATATGACAATGACATTGAATTATATCATAACAAAGCCTGTTATTCTAAAAATACGGAACCACATGTACAACATTCTTTAGAGTCTCCGATAGAAACTGAAGTGATAAGTGATAAAGAAACATTCACTGATATGGAAGAAACAACATATGATTTTGTGGTTGTAAGTGATTCCGAGGATAACATAGTACAATCGAGCGTGGAATCTATCTCTCTATGTAGTAAACAAAATAAAAATGATATAGATTCAGTTAAACTGGACTTTTGTGGTATTAAAGCCTTTGATAAGGAGAATCAAATACTACAGCAAAGCAAGCAACAATCTCGTGAATTAGATACTTGTAAGCATAATGAAGAAATTGTAGTGGATTCCACTGAAAATATTGTAACGGGGAAAAATACTTCACTCTGCGTTTCAAGTTCCCAAGATTTATGCATCTCAAATAAGCATGCTGAAGAGGATCATCAACCAGATAGTACCACAAATGAGAAAGTCCAATTAACAACACCCCATCTCGAAGTAAGT